GTCAATTCCTCGAAGCTCTTTGAAAATCCCGTTCAGGGTTCGGTTCGTCTGGACTGGTCGTCGGTTTTGACGAACTGTAGGGCTCGGTAGATCCGTCGTTGTTTTTGGTGTTACGCGGCAAGTCGTCTGCACAACGTGGCTGCGTAGCCATTGCACAACGTGTCTTTAAATTGGGATCGCGCATGGTGATTATCTGGCTGCCGTCAGCCGCGTTCTTGATATTGCTTTCAGTCGCGATATTGAACGGTCTGCCGAGCAACACCTTATAAGCTGGACTTTCCAAAATGTGCACTTGCAGGTAGACCAGGATGGTCCCAAACCTGAAGGGTACATTTCTTGCTAATCCCAGTGACTTAGAGATAGATCCATTTGCACTTTCCATATAGATGACGACTTTTGGGTCCCAGCTCAATTGTGCGTCGACGGCTTCTGAGAAAGCCATCGATACAATCTGAGATCCACTGTCTAGGATGCAGTCCGCGTCGAGACGCGCGTTAATCCGTCCGTTTATCGTTCTGAGAGCAGCCGACGAATCACCAACATAGACATGTCTTGGGTTCTCATTAGAGGGTATCGACTCCAAGTACATCTCATATGGGTCCGTTGCGACAACTGCGCCAATGGGAATTTCTCCTTCAACTGTGTTATGATAGAACACAGGCTCGGGCAATTCCTTAGCACTGACTAGGTTGTAGCTCAGTTCTCCATCCCAGACGTCTTCAACGACGCGGCCAGTTTCTTGAAGCATGGACTTCTGAACCGGTACTCGTTTCTTCGAAGAGTCCTTTAGAATGGAGTCGCGGACAGTCCCCGAAACTGCTAGGAGTTCACCCACAGTGACGTCGACTGACGCGTTTTTCATTTTGTCGTAGACTGCTTCTGCCACAGCCTTCTTTTGAATCGGTGCACGCAACTGGTATTTATCTGGAACGCGCGCTTTTGAAGAATGTACTGGTTCTTGTAGAACGGGCTTGACTTTCTCAAACGGTAGTTCCTTTCTCTTTTCAGTGTTGTCGCGCACTGATTCCTCATCATCGTCGCTATCGCTAACTTCTTCAATAATCACAGGTTTTCTCAGTTTCTCTCGTCGCTCAGCTCGTTTATCATGGTCCTCAGAGGGCTTGGCTGAGTTTGTGGGTTTAGCCCCCTTCCTTGAACCATTTAGAAACCCGAGTTGTTATCGTCGCGCTCAGGTTGGCTATTCGCACCACGGCGGGTTTGAATGAACTGCTCCTGAGTCTGAGGATAACCACTGTTCATGTTGTTGAAGTAGCCGGCCATGGCGTCGGTCATGGCTTTCTGCATGAACTGACCCATGGCGCTTTCCATTGCGTTACTGGTTGAACCAGACGCGGTTCTTTGAGTCTTTGGCTCAGCGCAACTCTCTGGGGTTGGTCGCGACGACTTCCTCTCGTATTGGATGAGTTGACTTCGAAGGGAGCGTATTTCATCTGCCACTTCTTCAGGGTAGTCGGACATATCATCATTGTCGCGGCTATCGAACTGATCCAAGTAGTAGGAGTCCTGGAAGTTGACGGATTTGCCCTTCTTCTTCCAATAAGCCTCTACTCGTTGCCCCTGAGTCCCCTCTCCATTTGGTAGGAAACTGTCGTCGAAGAGCCTCCACATCCCTTTGGTGTCGACTTTGAGAAGGTTTTTCTCAATGTGAGACCTCTTGAGCGGGCACTCGTTCGACCAGTGACCAGTTTGTCCACAGTAGTGACAGTCGTCGTTCCGTGCGGCAGCTCCTCCTTGTGCGCGACTTTCAAAGTGGGGCACAGAAGAGTTGTTGCCTACTGGCCGCGACCGCTGTATAGGCGCTTCGCGAGCAGTCTGTACGAACGTCTTCAGCGCTTCCTGCAACTGAGTCTGTAGCTCTTTTTGGTGTAGAAGAAATGAGTCCTTCAAGTTAGAAATCGAGTTTTCCAACTCCTCAACCTTAGCATGGTTGGGTGGACTAGTCTCATAGTCGAAGCGAACCTTTGGAGGTCGCGCGATTATGGGAATTTTGTCTTCGTTACTCAACGTCGACGCCATTTCTTCCGCCATTGTCATTAGCTCTTTCAGCTGGATGGGGTCGTCCTGCCGGTTGACTCCAGTCGCGGGGACATTAGCATTTGCTATCCCAGCGCGAGTTTGGTAGCGCTTATTGAATACTTGACTCGTAGCCAAAGCATTCCTCAAGACGGTACTAAACTCGGAGTCCAAAGTACGCATGTAGCGTTCACACGCAACTTTGTTGGTAATAATGGCAGGAGGGACTGACAGTCGCTTGTAGTGACTGTACATTTGAAGGCCGAAGCGCTTCAAATCTCCCTCATCTGTTATTTTGATTCCACGGTTCTCGCGACAGAGTCTATCTAGATCTGCCATGGTCCCCGTTTTTCGCTTGGACACCTCAGGGTATCCTTTTAATATTTCGGCCTCGAACTCCGCGACAGTTTTCGTGTCGTCGGAATAGGTATCGAGACCTTCCCATACGTCCATCACTTGCCACGACGGCAAATAACAAATGTACATGCTTTTCGCTTGTTTGACATCTGTGATGCCTCCATCCTCTACGATCTGCGCGCAGTGACGCAAATATGCCTCAATCGACAGGGGATCCTTTTCATCAAGTATAGGTCTACTTGTGTCCCAAGGTTGGGGGATTTTGAACCCAGTCTTTGGAGCCATAGTTGTCGCGAGTGAAGTCACAGGGGAAGTAGGGATGTTGTTAGAATTCGTGTTTGTAGCGGTGACGCTACTAGACAATTCTGAGAGAGTTTGTGAGCTAGTCTGAGATCGACTGATTGTCGTCGAACTCGAAGTAGCTGTGTCTAAAGCTGGAAGCTTCGACGTCGAATTCACTCTTTGTTTTCCTTTTGCCTTGGAAGGCAAGGGTGGTAGATACAAAGGTGTTTTATGTCTTGCAGACCTTCGTGGTTTTTCGAAAGGTCCTGAGGATGAAGCGTTTCCTTCAGTCTCAATCTCCGCTTGGTCCTCGAGAGGTCGCGCAGGAGCTTGGGATCGAAATAAACTGCTTCGCGGGGTAAACCCTTGGTCTCTATCCGACGTCGCGGTAAAGAATCCGGTTTATTGATTTTTGAAGTTTATGAAACTTTAGAAGCCCCTCGCGGTGGGCTCCAGATGAAATGCTGAGGGCGTGCTCACAAGTGAATCTACTATAAAAGTAAACCCAAATATAAACACGTTCACACTCCTCGTAATCAGCTTCTCAGTGTGTGAAAGATGCGAGGGCTTCGGGGTGGACAGAGCACCAGTATCACAACTCTCAATAGACGCAGATCAATAGTCGCGGAGACGAAGTCGACGACAAGAATTTATATATAGCAAACAATGGTATCTCAACCAATATCTTCTATACAAACACAACCAACACTAATCCAATCCACAAACAACAATATAACAAGTCAGAGCTTAATACGAAGTATTAAGATCCCTTGTAGCGACAGCGTCCAGATGGTGACGCAAAGCCCAAATATCAAGTCGACGCACTGCCAACCGATACAACCAATATACTGAGTCGACGCACTGCCAACTAGTAGAACCAAAATGTCAAGTCGACGCACTGCCAACTGACACAACCAAAAGTACTGAGTCGACGCACTGCCAACTAGTGAACCAAAATGCTGCATCGACGCACTGCCAACTAACAGCCAATATCCAATGTCCAAAACCCAAGCACAACTTGTCGACGCACTGCCAAGCAAGAAGTGTGGAACCAAAGTTCTCAAGTCGACGCACTGCCAACTGACCAAAACAACCCGAGCACAACTAGTCGACGCACTGCCAAGCTAGAGGTGTGGAACGATCTCAACAAAGCCCTAAGGCGACGACACTAAATGCCGCGACAATACCAGATGCGGCGAATCCGACTTTCTGATATCTCAACTCAAACTCAAATCACAGTAGCTACAAGTGCTCAGGGAGCAACTCGTCGCGACCAGGCAGGGATGGCAGAACTTCTCAGGGTGGAATCACGCGGCACGCAAATTGTACAAAACAATCTGAAATGAGAGTGATTCACAGTCCGGGGGAAAGCTTCCTAATACAAAGAGACGACGTGCTACTTATACTGTCTACGACGCTGCTTAGTAAAGTCCTGTACAACTGCATAGTAGCTACGCTATCTAAGATCGGTTGCCTTTTAGGGTAATTGAAAAGTTGAACGATTGGACAGGTCCTGAGTGATCAGGACCCCGCCCCATTGTCCATATGATACTTTTGATGTGGGCCAACTCACCGCGTCATACTTTTGGAATACGACGTGCTGGATTGGCCAACGGGTATGTCTTGGCATGTGAGACCAACGTGGGCGCCCCAAGAAGCCGTATGGCCCTAGGCGCGCCAGTCGTCCCCCACATGGCTCGGTTCACGGATCTAGCCGTGTCGATTTTAATGTGTTTGGGTATGGACGCGACTCGCCGTGACACTTGGAAGTGTCACCGCGACGCGTCCACAATGTCCCGTGATCGAATGGATCCTGACATGTGACAAGTCGTCGTCGTGGCATGATCTGAGGAAACGTCCAACTCAAAACCGGGAGTTGCCGCGACAAGATGGTTTAAGTCTCGTAACGCCAAGTCCTGTCCAGTAGTAGTTCTATTATTGAGAACGTCGCGCATTGCTCAGCCCTTCAGCCCAAGTTCCCATCTGCAGAGAATGACCCTTTTCGAGAAGTCGACGCAACGACAGATCCCTTTCTGGGGAATGGTCGCGGTCCAAGCGTTCGTCACTAATAGCCCTGAGCCTGGTGTAGACTCATAAGACCAGTTCCACAGTAGTGGTCTGACTGCCTTGCTATCGTCGACACTATCCACAGTCGTCGACTGGGCAGTAGACCCTTAAGTCCTACTGAGCGCAACACTGTCAACCGCGACACGATGCACCGAATGGTTCAAGAGTAAACTCTGTAAAAAGCGCAAAAATACGCCCTTACAGAGTTGGTGCAGAGCGCGTCTGGTAGCCAGCCTATCACCGGTCCCGTGCATTGCCTGTCACACCGCGTTTGCATATTCTGCAATCTGCCTGTGGGTCAACAGGAATCCCATGTTAGCTGATTCACATATGAACTGCACAAGGGACCATTCTTGCATTGATGTCAGTTTCTGTTGTGATGCATGTGCTTCCTGTCGACTTTTTCCTCCCTTGATATGACAATGTAGAGTACCGTAGGAGATCCCATGTGCCTCGGCTATGTTTGCAATAGATTTTGGTTTTCCTGAGTTTGCTGGCTTGGCCTGCTTGTACGTGTATTCAGTGAGTGCCCTCTTGATCACCACCTCCTTGTTGTGTTCCCGTAAATGGGCCTTGACACGATTAGAGTTAGCACGTTTGACCATGTGGAATGTGGGGTTTGTGAATGGAGATAACTTTGCTGAATGGAGAAGATGCGCACGTGTGGAGGATGAGGAAGGATGATCAAAAAACTGCATGTCACGCTTGTTCACATGTCAACCTTGGGATGGGTCTAGCTCCCTCCCTCTTTGTCCAATTCCTTGGGTCAAAAGACCTGAAGTATAGCCTAATATGGCCTTCAAAACATGAAAAAGAAATTGCACCCAAAAAATGAGCTCAAAGGGTCCAAAACACCAAAAGGGAATCTTGATCAGTCCGTGATTCTGCTCATTTTGGTCTGAATCACCCTCGTGAGCGCAATGTGGTTACTCCCAACCTTCAATACTTGGGTTTCCAGGAGAGATCATCCCATAGATTCTAAATATGAATTACTGTGGGTAGAAATGCTCACAGAAATGTGCTACGAAGGTTGCATCCATTATTGATGCATCATCCACTTCTGCCTATTACATTGTATGTATCTTTACCAAGAGCATAAAAAATTCATGAACAGATGGAGTTGGACTATAAGAATACCCTCTGGCTCAATAATCTAGAAAATTGAGGCCGTCACCTGTGCCTGTGAGTTGCCAGTAGAATTTGATCAAATACCACTCAATGAAACAGCCCAGCGCAACTGATCCAACCCTGCCAGACACGTTGGATCACAGCGGTGATAGGCTGGCTACCAGACGCGCTCTGCACCAGCTCTGTAAGGGCGTATTTTTGCGCTTTTTACAGAGTTTACTCTTGAACCACTTGGTGTATTGTGTCGCGGTTGACAGTGTTGCGCTCAGTAGGACTTAAGGTTCTACTGCCCAGTCGACGACTGCGGATAGTGTTGACGATAGCAAGGCAGTCAGACCACTACTGTGGAACTGGCCTTACGAGTCTATACCAGGCTCAGGGCTATTAGTGACGAACGCTTGGACCGCGACAATTCCCTAAAAGGGATCTTTCGTTGCGGCGACTTCTCAAAAGGGTCATTCTCTGCAGATGGGGACTTGGGCTGAAGGGCTGAGCAATGTGCGACGTTCTCAATAATACAACTACTACTGGACAGGACTTGGTGTTACGAGATTGAACCAATCTTGTCGCGGCAAATCCCGGTTTTGAGTTGGACGTTTCCTCAGATCATGCCACGACGACAACTTGTCACATGTCAGGATCCACTCAATCACGGGACATTGTGGACGCGTCGCGGTGACACTTCTAAGTGTCGCGGCAAGTTGCGCCCATACCCAAACACACTAAAATCAACACGGCTAGATCCGTGAACCGAACCATGTGAGGCAACGGCTGGTGTGCCTAGGGCCATACGGCTTCTTGGGGCACCCACGTTGGACTCACCTGCCAAGACATACCCGTTGGCCAATCCAGCACGTTGTATTCCAAAAGTATGACGCGGTGGGTTGACCCACATCAAAAGTATCATATGGACTATGGGGCGGGGTCCTGATCACTCAGGACCTGTCCGATCGTTCAACTTTTCATTACTCTAAAAGGCAACCGATCTTAGATAGTGTAGCTACTATGCAGTTGTACAGGACTTTACTAAGCGTTGTCGTAGACAGTATAAGTAGCATGTCGTCTCTTTGTATTAGGGAGCTTTCCCCCAGACTGTGAATCACTCTCATATCAGATTGTTTTGTACAATTTGCGTGCCGCGTGATTCCACCCTAAGAAGTTCTGCCATCCCTGCCCGGTCGCGACGAGTTGCTCCCTGAGCACTTGTAGCTACTGTGATTTGAGTTTTGAGTTGAGACATCAGAAAGTCGGATTCGCCGCATCTGGTTTCAGTCACGGCATTTAGTGTCGTCACCTTCGGGCTTTGTTGAGATCGTTCCACACCTCTAGCTTGGCAGTGCGTCAACTAGTTGTGCTCGGGTTGTTTTGGTCAGTTGGCAGTGCGTCGACTTGAGAACTTTGGTTCCACACTTCTTGCTTGGCAGTGCGTCGACAAGTTGTGCTTGGGTTTTGGACATTGGATATTGGCTGTTAGTTGGCAGTGCGTCGATGCGGCATTTTGGTTCACTAGTTGGCAGTGCGTCAACTCAGTACTTTGGTTGTCTCAGTTGGCAGTGCATCGACTTGATATTTGGGCTTTGCATCGCCATCTGGACGCTGTCGCTACAAGTGATCTTAATACTTTGTATCAAGCTCTGACTTGTGATATTGTTGGTTGTGGTTGGATTAGTGTTGGTTTTGTTTGTATAGAAGATATGGGTTGAGACATCACTGTTTACTATATATAAATTCTTGTCGTCGACTTCGTCTTCCGCGACTATCGATCTGCGTCTATTGAGAGTTGTGATACTGGTGTTCTGTCCACCCCAAAGCCCTCGCATCTTTCACACACTGAGAAGCTGATTACGAGGAGTGTGAACATGTTTATTTTTGGGTTTACTTTCATAGTAGATTCACCTGTGAGCATGCCCTCAGCATTTCAGCGGGTAGTGTGATGGTTGACCAGATCACCTCATCTCCCATCTCTGTGTTGCACGTTCAGCCCAACCGCACCCAATCTCAATGGAAAAAGAGAATGTACCCACCCAATCTCCAGTTCCTTCAAGTGCCAAACGAGTCTCGGGGATCTCGGCCGTGATGATCAAGGACAAATGTGTCGGAAGTCAGAGACTGCGGGTGGTAAAAAATTGGAATCTGGTGATGGCGGTGGTAACTGAGGTGAGAATGGATAAGCATCTCAAACATGACACCATCCCTTGTTTATCAGTCTCATCCGTGTCACACACCAAGCACCCGGTCGACTGTGTCAAGTAAAACAAACTGCACAGGCACTATGAGCAGCTCAAGATCACAAACAAGCAGTTAACGCTCCAGAATGCGGATCTGATCAGAGCTAGGATGGACCTTCAAACAACAATCTATCACATGAGGGCTCAATACCAGCTTCTGTGGGACAAGATGCTGGGGGTGTGACAATCAACACAGAATATGATCGAAAAGACAAGTCAATTCCAAGACTGGAGAATACAACACAATGGCTACTGTATTTATACTAAGTCCAATCTGAGTCTTATCTACATCAAACAAGTCATCTGACTATGTACCGTGTGGAGCTTTGGTCATGGGTTGTAGTATAGACTTCTGGAGCACACGCCACGCAATCTCTTGTGCAGATAACCCTCTTGGACCCTAAACCTGGACTGTGTGGTGCCGTGATCCATGATAAGATAGTCCCATGTCAATGATAAGATAAGATGCTCGATGGAATGATTGTGAAAAATGATTGAATCATAACAGGGGGCAGCGGAGGAATTACAGTGCCATAAAGCACCTCTCTTATGGGTTGATTTGAGTGAAAGGAAACTTTTGTAGATTTTTTCGTATTTACCTAGGCGAGAAACCCACCAAAAGAATGCGATTTAGCACAAAAACCCATTTTTTCCCACGCTGTTTCACTTTTTGGGGCGACGGCGACCCAAAAGTTACCTCTGCGGCTTCGCCGGTTTTTGTCTCCCCGCCATCATCTCTAAATTGAATGCCTAAGAAAAACTCAAAGCAACTAGCGGCCGCCCGCCGTGAGGCGCGTAAGCGCGGAGAGCCCAATGAACGAAGCACAAACGCAGAGACCTCCCAATCCCCGGGCGATCTGGCCTTTGCACCATCCAATTCAGAAGGGAATGCATCGGATTCCAATGATAGCTCAGTAAGTTGGGGCTCCCATGTGTTTTGTGTTCACAGACCGAACAAACACCATCAGATCTCTCTACAATTCGACGCTGCCAGTACGGACTCGGAGATGATCCCCGCCGCGAAACATCGCCGTGTTGACAATCCTGATGGGGACTTGAATCCTGTGCGCAAGAAGTTCGCTACTTCAAGGACAACAGCATGGAGGGAAAGGACGGGCAAGACGAAAATGGCGCATGCAAAGGGGATGCAACTCAGCATCGGCAGTATCTTCACACCAGTCAAAGTGAGAACGCACTTGAATCGAGCAAATAGAGATACTCATTGCCATGATCATCAGAAAACAACGATGGAGACGTACACACCGCCTGAGAACGTGGACATTGCCGATGCGCCAGGCTCGGAGGCGCAAGTGCTATCCCTCGACGCCGATGGGCTTGAGTTAGTGGAGATGTTGGAGAGTCAAAGCTCGGAGCAACTTCAAGTGCACTCTGCCTGCCAACTCGATTCCACGGTGCCCGACCGCAACAACAGCATCGAGCCGACTGAGAACCTGACCGTCTCCTTGGAGGTTCCATCATTTCCTGAGCCGGCGGTCCTTGACCCGGAGCCTGCTGCTCGTGCGCCTGTCGCAACGGCGGAGGTGTCTGATCTGGAACCTATGGAGGCCGGGAACTATATGCTGATAAACGGAGGACGTATCACTGATACGCGATAGTTTGCCGACATAGGATCAATTTCATGATGCGCTCCATGTCATGATGCGCTCTATCTGGACGGCTGAAAACGTTATACTAATGACCGATGTCTGAATCGTGGATGGCCGCTCGGCAGATATTGATCAGATGATTGACGCAATGATCAAGACCCCAGGTAGCCGACTATCGCAATATCGCAACATCGTAATATTCGAAAAGCGCAACATTCAAGATAGTGTAATATTCGAGATAGCGTAGTGAGCATGTAATTACTGTAATTCACTAATCATTTTCGCGGGAGTCTTCCTCATCCGAGAACCATGCGTACAGATCAGGACCAACAGCTTGCCGCAGCTGATTGATACGACACGCACCCGAGCGATCCGTTGGCCGAGAAGCCCTCTAGCAGCGGCGACTTGACACTCAAGTTGGTTTCCAGCATGTACCCCCACTCGCGCTCGATCAGATCAATTGCCCGCTCGCCCTTGCCGGCCACAAAATGCGCTTGGATCTGTCGCGCAGGTGACACGCAAACCACAAACCACCAGCGCAACACGCACCTCGAAGCCACGGCCTGATGGGCGTCCAGAACTTCATCAGCCCGGCGCTCACGGCCTTGTTCTGTGCGTCCGATGTCGTGAGGTTGTACAGGACCGCGAGCGCGTTGCCGTCCTGCGGGTGGATGCTCCTCGGCAGGTCGTTGCTGCGGAACCGGCCCGCCGCGGCGTCCCACAGCAGGCTGTTGAACGCAGTTTTGATCTTGGTCGCGTTGGCGAGGTATGTGGCGGGGAGGGAGACATTGCCGAGATGCGTCGCCAGGTCCGCCGTGGTGACGAGCGTCTACGAGCTTGATGAGCGCGGATACATGATGCGAGAGACAGAAATCAATCCTCACGCGATAAAGCAACGCGTTTGCCGCAGAGTTGTGTCCGGCGCCGCTGGCCCTGCCCCAGTCGTTCGAGAGCGCAGACGAGACGTTCATCAGGCCGGTCAAGTCCACCTGGCCCTCAAGGAAGCCAACCGCCTTGGTGTAGTTCGCCCAGACAGACTTGATGAAATCGAGGTCGCCCGTGTACAGGAAGTAGTTGTGCGTCCCAATGAGCGACCACGAGATGTACGTGTCGCTTCCCTGGTTGTTCAGCGGCGGCCCGGAGTACTGCAGCGCGCCAGTCGTCAGGTTTTGCGTGCGGAACATCACCATCAACGAGTTCTTGGTCGGCTCCATGTCGCTCAGCGCGACGAGCTCCGTGTGTGTGGAGATGCCGCAGTCGCCTGATCCGTCGCATGAGTCCGAGGGTTAGATCGCGTCCATGAGCATGAGGGGTTACCTGGCCAGATGTTCCTGACAGTACCAATGTCATCAGCAGGGATTGCACACACAGATCGCGACCGACCATTCCTCACCTGTCGCGTTTTGCACCATCGACGAGGATAGGCCCAGTGGCAGCTCCTCCCAAGGCATCGTTGGACCAGCCACCTACAAATGTGATCGCACAGTTTGAGTCCAAAATTCAGATCCACGCCGACACGAACCTCCTGCTGGGCACGGCTCCTGTCGCGCCGTGTGGGGAGGGATTGTGTTGGTCTGCACCCTATAGTGCCTGCTAGCGGTCAGCCCCCACCCACGCCACGCTCTGCCACATCAGCCAGCAAACAGGCGATGACGCACCGGCGTACCAGATCTTCGTGAGGAAGTCGATGTCGTGGAACCCGGGGTCAGGTGCAAAGAAGTAGCCCGGGTACGCCCTGAGATCATCCCAGTGGGGCATGAACGTGATCGCCAGCGAGATGTTCGAGATCGTCAGCGGGTCCGCGCTCGCACTCACAATCGTCAGGAAGCGGAACCCGCCGCGCTGCTGTCCCACGGTCTGCGTCAGCAGCCCCGTGGCTCGCGGCACGTGGAACGTCTGGATTCTGTCCCAGTTCTGCAGCCGTGCGGGCTGGCACGAGTCGTCCAACTTGAGCGGGCTGATGAACTCCGCTATGGAGGCCGGGAATTATATGCTGATAAGCGGAGGACATATCACTGATACGCGAAAGTTTGCCGACATGGCATCAATGTCATGATGCGCTCTATGTCATGATGCGCTCTGTCTGGACCCCGAACGCTCGTTAGTGATGATCAGAATGATCACGTGCAACAACCTTGATGAGCTCGCTGACAAATCCATTGAGATCTTTCAGTGCACGTGATAGATTGATCAAATGATCACGTGCAACAACCTTGACGAGCTCGCTGACAAATCCATTGGATCTTTTCGTGCACGTGATCGATTGATTTCAGGGCTAGGGCGCATCACTGCTCGTCAGCATGTATGTACTACCAATGATCATTGAAATCCTGAGAGTCTTCTTCGTCCGAGAACCATGCGTACAATGCGTGAGCGTCATCCGGTAACTGGGAGTTGGGCATGGGATCCACTTCGGGCTCGATATCGTTGATCATTGCGTTCAGACATGCGTGATGTTCAGGACCTCCAAAAGGAGACGAGTCAGTGAACAGTAAGGTTCCCAAGTAATGGAACATACCGAGACCATCCCCATTGTTGACTCCACCCATATAATAAGCACCCTCTCCGACGACCCCCTCACCGCCCCGCAGTTCCTGCAAGTTTGGGAGAAGGGGAATGTTTTCATCGACCGGCTGGGTCAGCACATGCCCCCACCTTGCATCGGCACTCTGATCGATATCGTTGAGCTGATCCAACTCCTTGAGGCAATTCAGGAGCTGGAGATATACATCCCAACATGAGTCCCGGTCCACAATAGGGCTATTAAGCTTTGCATAGATATCCAAGATCGCGATCTCGAAGTCAGGGGGAACAAGGAGAAAGACGTCATGATCAGGTGGTGCGTACATCTGTCGGACTTTTTCAATACCGATAGGATCGACCTTGATCTGTAAGGGACTAGTAGTTAGTGGCTTGTACTTGATGAAATTGGACTCGTACCTTGAAATCGAGGATGGCGTAATCCTCTGGGAACTCAAACATGCTAGTCGGAACACCGTGAGGAAGGATCTTGTTACGATCACAGCGCTTTGCGGTATTGTTCACGCGATGCCGATACAGCTCGAGCTCGCCCTGAAGCCACGGGATGAATACCCAACGGAAGACTAAGCTGCGCTGTGATTCAGAAGTCGAAGATCGCTTTGAAAGTAAGGAAGATACACACGCTTCGAGTAGAACTCCCGGATTGTACCAGCCCTCGTTTACACCAACGTCGAGGATGTCTTCAAAGCCAGGAGTGAATCGACGCCGCATCTGACTCCATGTGATTTCCGGCATGATGTTCTTCTTCTTTCGCATCCAACGGTGCTGAGAGGTGCCGATAAGTGAGGGGTCCTGATAGTGACGCAGCTGTGTGTGTCCATTCGCAATCCCCACGTTCTCTGACCCAGGATCGCTCTGGGTCACAAGTGGGATGACTGCGATAAAAACGTCGTGAATATAAGTCCGAAGAGATCAATACTGCACATACCCCCAAGCCGTTCCACGGTTTCCAGATAATAGCTGAATATAAGGCGGGGATTGCTGTTGTTCCACCAAATCTTCAACCAATGAATCATGCCGAGAAATGGGTCAATCCCAGTGTGTAGCGCTAAACCGAATTTATACTTCCATTTGTCGTGCTGATCTACAGCCCATATATCGTTGGCACCCGCTGCCCAGAACTGCTTGCGCTTGAAGTGTCCACGTCGGCGCTCACGAACAAGATCGGGCTCATGAGTGTGAAAATAGCGCATTACAGTCTCGCTAGAAACATACCTATGTGAGCGTATGAGAACACAATTGGAGGGATCACACACCGGGACACGCGCACATTCTCCTCGTGTAATAGCAAGCTAACCATCTCCCGTCCGCCAGCCTTGGGATAGATCGGACGGAGTTTGACAATAAATACCCCAATTGTGTCCACGGTGTGGCCTTGACGCCGCGTGCGTATGAAACCAAGCTTCTCGCGAATTTTTCTAAATGTTTGAACTCTAATTGAGAGCGGTTAGTAGCCTGCACAATGAAGACACAAATATACACGCACTCGAGGCCGTATTTGTTGAGATCGATGTGATACTTCTTGAGCAGCTCGACGATCTCGACATCCTTCTTGTTCTGCTTCCAGTACTTCTCGATGAAAGGACGGAGGTCTTCAGCATTAGCTGTGAACGTTCCAGAGCAAGGGCAAGGTGAAACAGTTGGAAGTGTAACACGTACGAACGGGCTTGTACTGATTGGGCATTCAGAGAGTTATGAGACCGCTGGTGGCACAAAAGAACCGAGGAGGAGCTTCTGTTGGAGTGCGAATAAGCCAGGACTCACTTTATAGTGGCGATCTGAGAACACGATCAACGAGCTGGGTACGGCGGTAGTACGGAGTGGAAGGCATATGCATGTACTTAGAAAGTCAGGGTAAACAAAAACGTTGCTGATCGGAGTTATTTTCAACTCATGTTGATAATGTTAATGTTGATAACCGAAGGACTTTTTACAAACCTAGATATCATTTCGGATCGGATCCCAATTGATATAATTATTCTCCTTGTCCGGTAGTGCAACTTCCCAGGCATGTACTTTGGTGAGTCGTTGTTTCTCAACGAGGGCCTCGCTTGAGAACACGCAGGGCGGCAGTAATAAATTCAACATCAGCATCAACACTGAAATCGCACATGTTGAGCGCTTGCTGTGCTCGTTGCATACCACCGCGGAAAATTCAAGGGTTTAACAGCCCAGTAATTGGCGGAGCCCTAGTGCGGCCGGGCACATGCTTAAGGCGCTACATCCATTCCACCAAACACGTTGATTAAGAACTGAGGATCCATGACACACCGTGAAATTTACTGAGACCGAGGCAGTCTTACCGAGCCTGGGGGAGCACTCTGGCAACACAGCCGAGATTGTCGACCCACTACTAATTGCTGACGCTCAAAGGCCTTAAAAGCGTCTCACAAAATGGGACTTAATCGTCGCCTACTGGTGCTCTGATCATGTCTGGATCAACCCTCTTTGCCAACTTCACCGATGATAGTTCTGATCAGGAGCCCGTTGTGTGCCAGACTGGAGCCCGATGCTACACTCGCGACCGTTCTGATCTCACAAAGGGCTTGCTGATCTTGCCCGGTCAGCCTCGCTTCCGGGTGGAGAACCTTTCTGCTGTCTCCGGTGGCAGGCTTGTGTGTGCAGCTTGCCATGCGCATTACGCAAGGAAAGCCTCGAGCTCGGTCCGAGGTACGTTTAGATGCTAAAACTGATGCAATTTATCAATCACAATCTGTGCAGCAACGTTCCGGGGCGATCTGGAAGGCGAGAAAGAATCTATCCGGCAGAGGAACATCCAAGGACGCGTTGGAGGTATGTTATTTTTGTTCTATACCCTGCTTCTGACTGAGCATTCGCAGACGCATCTCGTGGAGGCCGGATTGCGGCCATTCCATCGGGTCTAATGGGACCGCCCCTTGAGATCCCACAGCGATCCACAGGCACGTACATCATGATCTGCTCAAATTTAATATCTGAATTCTTAAGGTCCTCGTGTTTCGCTTCCAAACCAACCGATATCAAGTTCCGGATCGTCCAGTGCACCAATTAATCCGGGGCAATATTCAAGCCAAGGCTATTCTGCTGCTCACTCTCAGTATGCCGCGGCACGCGGGGCTTTTACCAAATCAGCGTATACTGGGATGTCGCCGCAGTGGATCACCCTGAACATTGGTGTCCGCTATGAGACTCGTGGTCGACCTACTGGGCAAGTCTTTGGGGTATGTTACGGTGACGTGTATCATTTTTTGTCACGAATTTGTGCTTCCAGACGATTCACGAGGGCAAGAATGTCCCTGCAACAATTACCGCAAGCGAAATTATCACAGCCGTGTTTGATAACGTGGCGCCCAAGCTTCGTCAAGCCATCGCTCAGGAAACTGACTCTCAATTTGTATTTGATGAGTCTAATTTTTTAGTACGCGATACTGAAACGTGGATCAATGTCCACGCGGAGCTCCCAGGATCCAGCGTGCTCTATGAGCGTTGCCTCAAGACATCAAAGGCTCGTGCCGACAAGGGCCAACTCGTGTTTCAGCGACCGAGAAAGCCCTTTCAATTTGCACTTGTCATCGACGCCAAAGAATGGCTCAGATATGAAAATTACCGTGATGCCCGGGAGCTGGACACACTCTCTATTCAGGTGCGTATACTAGTACTCTCCGGTATTTGGCACGACTGACTTTCTGAAAGGATAATGCCGATACCGTCTCATCTGCGCTACGCTCGCACATGGTACAGCGTGCCCCTGAGCCTTCGGCCCTCAAATTGACAGTCCTGTCGGCCGCGGAGACTACTAAGGAACCGAGTAACGGGTGTTTGACACGCTCAAAAACAAAGAGCAAGGTGAGCGCTTCTATCTTGATTCTTGTATCTGTTTGATTATTTATCCAGCAGACTGCCACTGCCAGTTCGTTCAGCTCCGTTCGACCCTCTCGATCGGCGCCAAGCTTGCAGGACTTTACTCAGCCAGATCAAGCGCTGCCAGAGTCGCCGCTTCCAAGCTCTGGCACGAGAGAAATTTCGTCTCAGGTGTGTTCGTTTACCCTTCTCATGTTTTGTCGCTGACTCGATACATACATGGAATAGGAATCCAGTAGCAAGATAGCGACTTCGAAAAAGCGTGCTGCTAGTCCAATCGACGATTATCATCCGGTTGACCAGCAACGTCTTCGAAAGGCACTCAGTATAGGCGGCTCCTTTCCCAACATTGCGAGAGGTGCGTCTTACTATGAAACTTAAGTATTCAGATCTAATCTCTATGCAGCCTTGCACACAACGGAGATAATCCAATTCTTCCGTATCACTGGGACCTCCGATCTCAATAATCTCCTCGCAAATGGCGGACAAAAATTTGTCTGCGATATTGCGAAGGCGGAAGCCGGTACTCTGTCGCTCCAGCCTTCGGAGAAGCCTCTGGGGATCGGTTCGTTCAAATCTGCTCATTCTGCGTTTCTGACGCTGTCCACTTTGCCGACCACACCCCTCGGAGCGCTTCCAAATCAAGCCGTTGCCGCGAAACGCATGTTCAAGAACAACAAGAATACCGTCTTGATCCGCTTCAACCCCATCGATGAATATGCGCACCATGTATCGGAGGCAAATCTCCTATTCTGGGGCACTACCCTTCTCAGTTTCGTTTATTCTTTCGTGCGTAACTACATATCAAAGCATGTCGCGCCACCAGGCGACCTCCCTATCTTTGAAGTCCGCTTCGTCGAGGCCGGCGTTGCTCTGGTTCACAATGCGGCGGCAGATGGCAAGTCGAGCAAAATGATGACATCACTCCGACGATCATATCTCATTGAAGAATTAATTGGAACGGGTTTGTTCTCTGCAACGACTCGAGTATATTGCTCACTGAATTTCAGGCAAGTTTGTGAAGTACATCAATAACAATAGTGCAGTGCCCGTTCCGTCGCTTCCAGAAGATCTCAAGCTGTTGGCATCGTTCCTCTGTTTTACACAACATGTCCAATACGAACACACCGGGCGTTTGGTCTTTCTTTCTGATCTTCAAGGCCGGTTCATTCGATCTGGCTCACTGTTTCATACTAACTCTATCCAAGGCTCCGGAAATCTCTTGACGGATCCGCAGGTTATGACTTCACCGTGCGCAGTCCACTGCTGTGTCAATCTGCGTGCTCTTGATATCTGACTGGATCATCAGGACTCTCGAACGTGGTCTGTTTGGTGGTGGCAATTCAGGCAGGTTCTTCGAGAAGTTTCCTGAGCAGCATGTATGCTCCGGTTACTGCAAGTTTTTTGGACTGTCTAGTCTCATGTAAGTAGTTACGCTCTATCGCTACTCTACAGTGCATGTACTTGGCCTTTTTCATACATGTTAACGAGCGTTCGGGGTCCAGACAGAGCGCATCATGACATAGAGCGCATCATGACATTGATGCCATGTCGGCAAACTTTCGCGTATCAGTGATATGTCCTCCGCTTATCAGCATATAATTCCCGGCCTCCATACTCCGCGGACTCGGTGAACGACAGTGAGAACTGCGACTGGGCCGTCGCGTTGTTGATCGTCAGCGACAGGATCCCCCCAAGCTACAGTATGGGTGTGTGAATTGACCCTCGACGGCGCTGTATCAGGGAGGCCGCGCACCTCCTTCCCCAGTCGAACACGACGTACGAACCGCTGCCCTGGAATGTCGCCTGGGAGTCCGGACTTGCGACGAGCCTGCTCGCGCCGGCGACCCGGCCGCTGATCCTATCTCGAATGTTGCGCTTTTCGAATATTACGATGTTGCGATATTGCGATAGTCGGCTACCTGGGGTCTTGATCATTGCGTCAATCATCTGATCAATATCTGCCGAGCGGCCATCCACGATTCAGACATCGGTTATTAGTATAACGTTTTCAGCCGTCCAGATAGGCGCATCATGACATGGAGCGCATCATGAAATTGATCCTATGTCGGCAAACTATCGCGTATCAGTGATACGTCCTCCGTTTATCAGCATATAGTTCCCGGCCTCCATAGGAACCTCAAATCCAATCTCGCAAACTCAACGCTCCGTCAGAGTCCCCGGACCCTGCAGCTTATCACTGGCGACTCAAGCAGGCGGTCAACAAGGCGCAGACCGCTCTAAAGAAGAAGAATGCTATTCTCAGCGACAAGAAGGTGGCCGAGAAGATCTTGGACTTGGAGGCGGTGAAGCAGTACAACGACAAGCTGTACAAGTTGAATCTTACGCACAACAAGCTGGTCCGGAGCCTTGGTGACACATCAAGACTGATGCGGCCACACGTCTTGAGGAAGATCCGGAAATCACGACCGTCGGTGGAAGCCAGTGTCGCTATCACCAATAGGAATAAACAGGCTAACTACTATGCAAAGCGGATTCGGAAGATGGCTGCGCATCTGCTCGAGCACGGGACGTTGCCTGAGAACCAACAAGGGCAAGGTGCGTATCACAAGAGTTTGCTGAGTGTGCCTGCCGTCTTCGAGGCTGTGACGGAATGGACAAAAGGGACTTTGAAATACGAGAACGGTGGATTTGAGGGCAAGGCGAGTCAATCACATGTCTCAAGCACCAATCAATCTGATCTGCAGCGGGCAGATGCGCCCGGCAAAGTTGTGTCGCTACGTCAACGAGTTCTTACTGCCGGGTCTTCAAATCAACAACCAGATTTCGGAGGTTATGGCTGGGCAATGGCTGAAGAAGCTCGGCTTGCGTTTAGCGCAAGTTCAGAAGGGGGTTTATGTTGATGGTCATGAGCGCAACGATGTTGTCGCGAGCAGGACAGAGTTCATTGATCAGATGTGGCGGAATATCTTTCCGCAAGTATGTTCCGTCTCAACTTATTGCAGCAT